GACCCTCAGATTGCGAGTCGAGTGCCTTAACCACCTGGCCATTTGCATAATGGTACCTGAATTACATTATGCGGAATTCGTTATGTAATGAGAGCACATTTACACCATGTAACATAATTTAAATTAATGTAAATGTTATTACGTTTTAAAGATGGCTTATATTAGTGTTATTTGGTGAATTGCGATAATTAGGCATCGTTACTTAATGTGAGCCAATATACTTACCTTACAAAACTCCTGTAAAATTACTTCAACTTGTTTGGAAGCTTCTTTTTTATTGGATAACTTTAATTCAAATTCAACACTTTTTTATAACTACTATACTTTATATTTTTTATCAAATAATTATATTACTTTTTTACTGAAATACGTCACTTATGACCAAATATTCGTGTTACTAGGTAGTTTGCGGACTTGGAAGAGAGGCTTACGAATCGTGGGGACGTCGAAAGAGGGCACTGCCGGCTAAAAAATACAACGATGAAATGACTTTAAGTCATGAAATTTTAGTTTTGGATTATGGTGATGGTTCCGCAAGTACTACTACTACTACTAGGAAGAATGACTATCAGAAATTTAATAGTAAGAATATGTTTTATCACTTTACTGGAATTTAAGATGTAGACAGTGAATGAAGTTACAGTTTTGAGTGCTAGAAATAGTCTAAAGTAATTTTTTTATCAGAAATATTAGGGCCTTTTCGAAAATTAAGTTCTTGTTTTTAAAAAAAGTGAAAGCAAAGACAGTAAAAGCAATTTGAAAGCTATAAGTATTATTTTCAAAATATTTCGCAAATTTAGAAATGGATAATTATTTTTAGTTCAGTTATATAGCATACAAATTTGAAAACTATGAGAAAACAATAAAGTACAATAGAGCAGTGTATAAGAGCAAAATAGAAAATTAATAGTAATGGAAAGAACAACCAGAATATATAAGTTTTTCAATTACTTCGTTCTTTTGAAGTTTTTAGTCGCGGCATAGCAGCTCATAGAATGGTTCCGAGTTGTTTTTTCAAGTACAAACTTTTAGCTCATAGCGCCATCATGTCTTGACCGATTTGACATTTAAATAGTTTTGGACTCAGGAGACAAACCCTTTCGATTGATTCATTTGACCATGCCCAAGGCCTCGTAGATTAATTTAGTCTAATCCTGCCTAAAATAATTAAAAATTTGAGGGTAGGCTGGTAGAGATCCTGATATTAAAAGTTAACTCAGCAGTATATTTTACCAGTATATCAGATAATATAAGATAATTTTCTTTTTAATTTGTTTACTTCAGAAACATACAACATCCAGGAATCTGTCAGTATTCGTGATGACTGCGTTTCGAAGACCTCCGTGATGGCTCTGAGTGTTATTAGCGCCACCTTGTTAGTGTCTTACATCTGTACAGTTGCTTACTTTGTTGTTCAGAAACGAACACTGAAGACTTTCCCTTAATAACAAACATTGACCACGCCATTATTTTAAACGATAACTTATCTTCATTATGTTATTATGGGCTTTTTGTTTATATTCTAAAAAATATATACTGGGAGTTAAAATAACGGAACTTCTTGCTTTGCAACAAAGGGCAGATTCAAGAAAATAAAAGCTGGGGGCTTTAGTTGATGCTAATGCTTGTAATTACTTAATAGCTATACTTTTGTGTTTTAAGAAGAAGCCCAGTTTTATAACATCATACCTCAATACTCATATCAACATTTAACAAAATAAATAAATACTGTAATTAAAAACGCCCTCTGTGTATTTAAAATATAACAACAAAAATTATAATTATGAATTATTAGATATCCCAATAACATTTTACTTTAGTATTTATTTATTTTGGCTAAAGACAAAACATCATCTTGAGCATAAATTGAAAATGACAGTCAATTATGTTAGTCATAACTTGTTTTCGAAATTAGTTTAACACGCCATTGTTACGAGCAATAAAAGCTCATAAAATCGAGAAGTATTAAAAATCATTGGACCCTTTTAAAGTCTAATAATTTTTTATTTTAATATATTTATTTTAAAATAGCTTCAAAAGCAAAATATATGAAGTTTCAAATGACTTTTTTTTCAAGTGATATTTTTCAATGACTAATTGATGTGGTAGTGAATTTTCAATGACTAGTCTAATCTAATAATTAGTCTAATCAAAATTATTCCGAATAATTTCTGTGTTGTATATAATATAATAGGTGTATGTTTTATATGGGAAAGGGTTAGTAGTATGATGTAGTAGATTTTCGGTAAAATAATCGCTGTGATTAAAGGATGGTTTTGGTAAAACTTTGGGGAAATCAGGAGTGGAAATTTTTCATATTATGTTTGTTTAATATCTACATATTGAACTACGTAAATCCATTCAAGTTATGGGATAAATATGAGTGTGCTGTTAATGTGAATCTGTTTTACGTATATTTTCTACAATAAAGATGTGCAATTTAATAACCATTTGTTTTTCATGAATTATGTCTTAAAAATTATTTCCTATGAGAAACTGATACCGCCAAGCAAACAGTTTTATCATTAAAATTGATAGCTCACGTGCGTACAGCAGTTTTTCGCGGTTTAAACTGTTTAAAAAATGTAAATTGTTACCAAAAAGTTACATTACCTTTTCACTGTTTAATAAACTAAATCATATATTAAACTGCACAAAATATAGCATTTTATCACTATATCTATAAAACAGAATTGTCCATCTATTTGTCTAATATAAGAAGTTGTGGCGAGAAATTGGCTGAACCAATTTTGATGAAATTTGATAGAGGATCTGATAAACTTCCCAAAAGATAATTCAACACTTTGTTTACTATGAGGCAGTACCTCCTACACCCACTATTTTCTTTTTTATTCCTAGGGTCCACTGGGTGTACATAGATAAGGTTTATTTTTGTTTCTTTAAACTGAATCCAAAGATGTACAGTTTGTGAAGCCTTATTTCAATAAAATAAACAATAAATCAGTCCAACATAAGTTTAATATTTTGTTCGATTTTTCACAATTCCTTGGAATGCTAAATGCCTAATCACAAAAGGGTTAAATGGACAACAATTCCTTGGAATGCTAAATGCCTAATCACAAAAGGGTTAAATGGACAGGCAAACTTTTTCAAAATTGGAGGCTGATAGTCTGAGCTTTCATTCCATTATTCATAATGTGCTACTAGATTGTGTGTAATTGATTCCCTTGCAATATTTTCAGCTTCCCGTAATGTATGTAACATATAACTTCCCCTATAGTATTTCACAAGTATCATTATTACTTTGCATATTTGTATATCTCTGCCAAAGGATGTATCCCACGGGAGCTTGAGTTGCTATGGTTGTATGCATCATTAACACCACGTTCACAAATCACAATGTCATTACAATTTGAAAGAGTGATATCTGATTCATATGTCAGAGTTGGTGTCCATGTTACATATAACTTCTCTTATGTCATCTATCTCTAAATCTGAAGTGATCTTGTAAAATAATTGCCATCATAGATGGTTTGCTCTGTAATGAAAGATCGTGCTTGAATAGTTGTTCTTCTGTTGCCTGTCTTCCAAATTCACGTACTCATAATGCTCACTAAGCTTTCAAATGATATTTTCTTTTGATGCATAAGTAATCTTCCATGCTCTTGACTTTTCTGTACAGGACCTTGGTCTTGGCATCTCTTCCAATTCACTAGATCTATAAGCTGATATTGCATGCAAAGCTGCAAATATGTGTTTATAACAGTTAAGTGACCCAGCTTTATAAACAGTTAGATTTCAAGACTTGTTTTTCTTTTCTTAAGGCAGCTATTCTGTTTCATTAATGCTTTCACTCTGACACTAATAATTGCGTGAGGTAGCTTACTTAAAATCAAACTAGTCTCCATTTTTGTCACATGGTTATCCACGAACATTCTGTATCCAATATGAAGATATTTGAGGGATTCTAAACGGCTTTGTAATGCATAATTTACTTATTTTTCTACCATGTCATTATAAATGTTGCCCCAAATCAAATGTAGCATCAGTTTCAAGGGGCGAGTCCATCCCTGTGGTGATACACAAGTGGTGAAATACTTTGCTCGTTAGTGGTGAATGTTGTCTCTGATGTAGATTCAGGTGTGTTGTCATGTTCTTTTACACTGTAAATAAATCAAATATATTAATTAAAGAAAATACACAGTATCCTTCCGTGTGCTCACTTGTAACATAACGTATGGCACTAAATTAACATAATTTTACGGAGGCCCGGCATGGCCAGGTGGTT